AAAAAAAAAAAAGCAAAAAATCTACCCTCCTCCGCTCCCCCACCTTCTTATCTCTTCACGTCTTGCACTGCTGTTGGTTTTCTTCTTTTAATTTTTTTTTTACAAAAATCCTACTGGTTTTGAACCCGGGACCTTCTGAACACTAAGCTGATGTCTTACCCCGAGACCACCAGCACCACTGAAATTTATTTCCTTTTATTTTCCTCTTAAGCTACATCTTCGGTTATAATTCCAGAAAAATCAATTAACTTACTTTCTAAATCACAAAACTATACTTGGTTTCGAACCTTCAAACTCTTGTTCACTACGCCGCGGTTTTACCAATAGGCCACCGATGCCACGGAAATTTTTTGTCTTTAATCTTCCTCTTATGTTATATGTCGCTATATAATTCCATAAAAATCTCATTACAAAAATACTTCTGTTTTCGAACCACGAACTGTATATTTACAACGCCGGTGCCTTACCTCTAGACCACCAGAACATCTATGATATAGCCTTCTGCGATCGTCCTTATATTATATGACTTGGTTTATAGCTGCAGAAAAATCGTATTTATTTATTCGCTTTTCAATTTCTATTGGCAAAAGACACCGTGGTCTCGAACCCCGTACTTTCCCAATACTTCGTCAATGTTTTTCCCACGTACCACCAGATCTATACAAATTTGTTATCTTCACCTTCCTCATATAGTACCACTTGCTTCCTACATGCACAAATTTATTGCATTCTTTTTTTTCACAAAAATAGTAATGTCTTCGAACCACATAACTTCAAACCATATACCTTACTTCTAGACCATCGGCCACCCATGATATTACTCAGCTATTTAACCTTTAAACGCTGGACTTCTGAAATGGTGGTAAGCTTGAGCTGGCCGGAGTTTATTTAAATGCCCGCTGCTACTTGGCGTTTAAATGTCCGTTCCTGTTAGGACGGTTAAACAATTTTAAGCAATGTGTTTAAAAATGCTGTATCTAACTCAATTGTTATGATAAATGGACGGAAATAACTTTGTTTGTATCAGCAAAGAACATAGCGTCGCATATTATAACGGATTTGAAAATGTTTATACAAAGAGTTATACTCTATTTTCAAAATTTTTCTTGCCATCTGTGGAGTAAAACCTGAACACTCGAGACTAAAACCCCATGGAAAGCCACGAATTGTAATTAACCGCTCCTCTGAATAATTCATTTTATAGGGTAGGGCAGGAGGACGAGGATTAAAGGAAAGCGATTTGATTGGTTAATGGGGATACGTTCGAATTTAATATTGGTGGGAATTTGTATTGCAGTTTTTTATATAATTTGTGCATATCAGATGCTCATTTCTTTGTTTCAGATGGTGAAAGTGGGGAATTTGTGAGTGAGATTGTCACACAGGTAAAGTAAACTGACATACTTCATATATTATGCAGACTTGTATCAGAGAGGTGCACGGTGAGATGGCCCGTGCTACTGTTTATCCAGTGATGAGCCTAACAGCAACACAGCAGTTAAACACCAGTTTCATGAGAATTTAACTTGTAAGAAGCAACCATTTTAACATTACCACTTCCTTGTATACTTATTTCAGGTCAGTAGCATTACTGCCAATGTTCACAGTCTGTGAGGGTCTCTGGTTAATCCGTGGATCAGTAAACGGATGCGTGTCTCATGTGTTACATGTTGACTTTCCTCCAGACTTCAATGTCTTGGAGCTGGTTCGTGGGGCTTACAGATCAGTTCAGTGTTTGCTACACATCGTCATCTGCTAAAGAAGTGGAGAGACTTTTGTTCCACATATTCACAGCAGCATGCAATGGTCCTAATGTGTTTCCTTCATTACAGGGCATTATGTGGCAGTCCCCAGTCAACGTCACCTAGGTGACTGAAAGGCAGCTGCTGTACCCAGACTTTCACAGCTTCCCCACTGTTACTGTTGTGTATATATGTGACCACTGCTTGCCACCCAACTTCAAGGTCCTGATCTGTGCTCACGAGGTGTCAGCTTCAACTGTCAGCCTGCTGGAGACTGCACCAAATGTGGGATGGTACCTTAAGGTAGCCCACGACTGCATCCTGCGACATAGGACATTAGCTTGCAATGCTGCATTAGAAATGTAAGTTAAAAGTTTTTTAAGTATGGGAGTGGATGTGGTCATGGCCTATTATAAGGTACTCTCCCAGTATTTGCCTGAAAGAATTGAGAAGAGCATAAAAAACAGGATGGTTGGCCTCCATACTGAGATTCAGACCCAGACCTCCCAAATAAGAAGCAGGAATGCTATAACGTTGCATTTGAGGCCTGAGTGTGCTAAATTTCACATGCCTGGCTGTGTTCAGAAAAAGATGAATAATCTGATAAAAAGTAATGGAATCTGCAAGGACTGGGCAAATCCTCTGTCTGGGCATGTAATTTCTGTGAATATAATATGTTATTGCTAACAAAATTAAATAAAATGTTATCCATTTTAACCCTGTCCTTACTCCTAAGTCGCGCCTACACCTACAAAATGTGTTGATGCTTGTTCTAGAATATCTTCCCTGTTTCTACCCATTCATGCTCATTCTCCTGGCTCTCGTACTCCAACTGGTGGCCCTGTGCCGAGGCACTTCAGTGTGGATCACTGATAAACCGAGCATTGGCAGTCAACAGTGATTCAGAGCCATGAACCCAGAAAGCCATAGAAATGCATCATCCAGAGGGCAGAACACTGGCTGTGGTTCATGGGATGTGTCATGGCGCCCCCCTCCCTGCAGAGCACAGAGTGTGTAATATCTGAAGATTACACATTTGGGTCCTATGAAGGGTTTGGATTGTACAGGCATTTGTGACAAAATAGGAAATAGCAATCAGTACTATAGTCTTGATACTGACAGCATTGTTATGTAATGAGCTTTAAAAAACAGAGTAAGAGATACCAAGAGGCGAGCTGTCTGACATTATGAAGATGCATGGGGGAATGCATTACTCTGTACTCTTCCTAATATGTATGGGAGCCATGTCTGTTAAAGTGATATGCAGGTATAGTATTAGGGTTTTTAGTTGCAATTCAAACCCTCATTCCTTTTTTTTTTTGCATCAGTAAACTTTAATTTCTTGAGTGTTATTGCAGCTTTAAAGTTTTAGCTCCTACAGCATGCTGTGATATTGACATGGAAACAATTTAATCATAGGTGATGAACATGTACTTATGCATGTTTGAAATACAGTTTTGCCTTTTAATTTCATTATGAAAATCAGATTACTTAGATATGCACATAAAATGTTGTGCCCTGAAAATAATATAAAATTATGTGTGAAGCCCTGACAGTGCAAGAGCATTATGGTTATATAAAGTCTTGCTGTATTTACATATTTAAAGTTAGCAAGAAGTGATCTAGCAATGTTGTTCTGTATTCCATTCATAAGGTAGGTGAGTATGTATTAGTAGCGAGACATGTGTCACCTTGGAAATTCTGAAGCCAACAGCTCCTCAGCCACTCAAGAATTTCCCAACATTTTATGGAACCCTAACGATCATTACCATGTCCACAAGAGCCTGCCACTGGTCACTATCCTGAGCCAGATCAATCCAGTCCATACCACCCCATCCATCTACATCAAAATCTTTCTAGTGGTCTCTTTCCTTCAGATTTTCCTACCAATACCCCGTATGCACTCCTCTCCCATGCATGCTACATGCCCTGCTAGAGCGATCAAAATGTAAATTATAACTGTTTTAGGTAAATTATTTCATCCTATTTCAAAAAGATCCTAACAAATTTTATATGCCTAACATTACACATGTCTGATGATATGGACAAGGAATACATTTGAATTTTCCCATTACAGCATCAGCATCCGCAATAACTAAACGTCAAGGCCCAACAATGTCTATAAACTGCAATGTGTATTCTTATAAAGTGGACTGTCCACCTGTGTTCATTTCACTGCTTGGGGCCAGTTCCCACAGTGCCCTGGTACAGGTGATGTAACACAAACTACATCACAGATGTCTGGCCAACTGTTGCTGATAAAAGACGCAGAGCTGCATAAGGCGGTCAGCACAGTTTCAAAACACATGCACATGAGAGCAAAATCACTTACAAAATCAATCTTACCAATTCATTTCAGATGAAGTATTTTATTGCTATGCTGGCATTTCTTCAATACTGGTACACTAACCATAACAATATATATATATATATATGTGTGTGTGTGTGTGTGTGTGTGTGTGTGCACTTCTTACCCTTCTGTAGGAAGCAGCTGCTGTTGTCACTAGGGTCTTCAGGAAGGGCATTTAGTGGATGACAATAAGACAACAAAATATTTGTAAATATATCGGTGCAGAATATTAAATAAACACACAACTGTTGTAACATTTTTACTCAGCTTTATACATGTCTGCTGTACAGATAACCAGTGTCTTCTCACATTGTCACTTTACCCCTTCAGTGATAACTTATAATTTCAATTTGATCTTTAAAATACTACATATATCTTTGCTGTGTCGACAAAGGGTACTGGGGTAACCTGAAAACCAGAATATCTATAACGAAAGAGTTCTATGTAAACGTTCAACTTTATGCATAAGCGGAGAGTTTCACAAGAAAAGCAATGATGTAGCCTCAGCAAACTCGCCTCTGACACACACACACACACACACACACACACCTGCAAATTACCTGCTACAAACCCAAAGGATGCTTGGGGGTAAGTACCTCCTCAAATAACCACCAAGTAGCAGCAGCAGCTATAGATCATGTGAAGGCCTGCTCTTTCTTCAAAACATGGGTATGTCATAACTGATGCCATCTGTTGACAGAAATTCTGCACTAACTGATTAAGAATGAGCTGATGTTTTTGGCTCTGACAATTTTAACACAAGCACACTGACCCAATCTAATAAGTTTGTGGTGTGAATAAGGTCAATGACAATCTGTCATAAACTTTAGGCCGTTTCTTGGTCTCCGTTTATAAAATTTCCTCAAAGTTGTGTAGAAGGAACTTGTGCATCTGGTGTGGATGCAAAAATTAATATCACACAACTCTTTAAGGTATTTGGGAAGGGATATGTAAATGGCAATTTACAAAGAGAGCAACTTTGTATATGGAAATCACATTCTTCACTTCAGTTTCTAAAGAGTTTTGACAGTGGTATATAACATTCAGGATTACTGAGATTTGGCTTTGTCCATCATGTGTTTTTCTACAGAAAACAAGGTTTCGGAAAATGGGAGATAAAGAACTTTTATTTTTTGAGTCATTCTTGAAAACTGGACACTTGCACATGCCTAATTTAAAATTCTGGCTATGCAACGAGCAGATGACACATCAAACATGTGATATCCCTAACACTTTATTTGTGAGACTTGACAATTTCAGTCTGACAGATCATCATCAACCTTTAGGAGCAAACTGTTGCCTCTTCAATCCTGAAAATGGAGACAGCGCAGTTCTTCAGGACATTGGTAATGATCTATCCAAGACAACTACACATCCAAAAAGGACTATAATCTTTCCTCTTTCATCTGTTCTTTATAGTAACACTGAAGACTTGTACATGATACATCACCAGCTCACTTAAAGCTATGGCATTCAGTGTTAAAACATATTTCATCTACCTTCCTTTATCTATGTTTATTTCAGGTGTTGTCTGCTTGTATCGCCCTGTACCTGGTTCCATGGCTATTGTTATGAACTCTTCAGCTATCTCACGATCAAGCCCTGTGTATGTCTGAGCCACTTCTTCCTCTGTCACTGGTCTCTGCTGATCTACCGGCTGTGAAGCGGTGGCCCTCTTCCTCCTCTTTGTGCCACGGCGTCCTCTTTGACCAATGTTGCGGTCTCGTATGCGCCGTGCTCTTTCCTGTAAAGATCAGCTTCACTAAGAATCTGTAACAATGGTGTGCCACACAACAGTGTGGATGCTGTAAGGCTCATGATGTTTCATGGGAAATTCATAATCAACAAGCTGGCTGTGCTCTGCTCGGGATAAGATCACCTTCTTTGTCTATATCACAACATATAACAGCAAAACATTTACAAAAGGAAAAGCATCCAAATTCATAAATTAAAAGTTTATTCATATAATTAAAATACAAATGACCGAGAATGATTCAAGTTGCACCCAAAAACCTTACTGTAACCTTTGCAGATAGTTGTGGCTACAGTACACACTCACAAGAGTAAAAAGGTAAAGGTAAAACTATCCCTGTAACAGGTCACGGAGGTGTATAGGGTTGTGAGACATCAACTCTCCCACATTTTCTAGCCAATGAGCTTAATGATGGCAATGAGGTTATCAGCCTCACGCGCTGACCGCCCTTTATCCCCCAGGAAGACTCCTAGTACTCCTTTCTGTCAGGGGCTGAGCTGACCCCTGGGCCACGGTATGAAAAGGAAAAGTTTTGTTTTTGCATATATTTGTAAAATCAACCATCTTTAATCACACAACACTACCAACAAAGAAACCAACTTTTTTTTAATATTATATTTAAGCATCCTGTTGCACTCTATACGATAAATGATACAAAAGTTGATACAAATTGATACTTGGGACGGAATTTGTATCATTTATCAACTTTTTTTTATCATTAATTCTGATATGCTGCTTCAAAATATGGATATGGGATAAGGTTACAGTTTTCTGTATTAAATTTTTGACCAAACAGTGCATTTATTTCACAATTGTATTTTTTGTTTGTGTTCTCATATTTTTTTTTTCAATATATATGAGAGAATTGTTTTACTGGTGAATTAACTTTCATTCAACTGTCACTTAATTCAAATTGCATAATACGTCTTGCATTAAAAGGGGGGGAGTAACAGAAGACAGGGTGTGTTACAAGCACCAGTTATGTGGAAACCACATGTGATCTCTATATACAGAATGATTGCGTATGTTTCCACTCCTTGTCAGTTGCTACATGTTTCAGGAATGCTGACAGAAGTGCCACTTGATGGCTCTATTAGGGGATTTGTTTACAGGGGATACTTACTTACTTATGGAGCTGAGCCCTTCATGAGAAGCCAAATCTGCAGCTACTCAAGAATTTCCCAGCACTTTATGGAACCTGAAGGTTCATTACCATGTTCACCAGAGCCCTCCACTGGTCCCTATCCTGAGCCAGATCAATCCAATCCATACCATCCCACCCTATCTCTCTAAGATCCATTTTAATATTGTCCACCCACCTACGCTTTGGTCTTCCCAGTGGTCTCTTTCCTTCTGGCTTTCCCACCAATATCCTATATGCATTCCTCTTCACCCCATTTGTGCTACATGCCCTGCCCACCTCATTCTCCTTTACTTGGTCATTCTAATTATACTTGGAGAAGAGTACAAGTTATGAATCTCCTCAGTATGCAGTTTTCTCCAACCTCCTGTTACTTCATCCCTCTTTGGTCCAAATATTCTCCTCAACACCCTGGTCTCAAACACCCTCAGTCTATGACCCTCCCCTAATGTCAGAGACCGAGTTTCACACCCATACAGAACCACAGGCAAAACTATAGTTTTATATGTTCTAATTTTTATGTTTTCAGACAGCAGACGAGAAGACAAAAGGTTCCGGACTGAATGCTAGCAAGTATTACCCGAGTTCAGTCTACTCTTGTATTTCCTCCTCAATCAGGTTTCGATCTGTTATCGTTGTTCCCAAATATCTGAACTGTGCCACATTTTCAAAACATCTGTTACATATCTGTATGTCATGATATTGCCCTGCATTTTGGTGACGAGACAGCAACATATACTTAGTTTTCTTTGTGTTTACTTCTAGACCAGCCTCAATTAAAGTCAATTAAAGTTTGTGTGTTTTTCTTTATGGTATCTACATTATCACCCAGTAGATTCACATCATCAGCATAGACCAACAGCTGATGTGTTCCGTTTAATTTCAGTCCCGCCTGGTTTCTCTGGATCTTCCTAATGGCATATTCTAAAGAAAAGTTGAAAAGGAGTGGCAATAAAGCATCTCCTTGTCTTAGACCATTCTGGACAGGAAATTTATCAGACAAATGTTTACCTATACAGACTTTACTATAAGTTTCATTTAAACACATTTTAATCAGCTTAACTAGTTTCATGGGTATCCCAAACTCTTATCAGAATATTGTACAATACTTCCCTCCTAACTGAATCATAGGCTTTCTTGAAGTCTACAAATAGCTGATGTACTGTCTCATTGTACTCCCATTTCTTTCTCATTATCTGACGAATGCAAAAGGCCTGATCTGTAGTTGATCTGTTATGTTGAAACCCACATTGATGATCCCCAATAATTTCATCTGTGTATGGACTTAACCTTGAGAGAAGAATATTGAGAAATGATTGATACTACTTCCCAACACATGGCCAAATTTGCCATTTGGCCTCAATCAAGGCGGTGAGCAAGCTAGGATATGGACAACTTCATGTTTTTGATTTTGCTGAAGCAACAACAAAATGGCTTGAAAACCAATCAAACGAAGGGTGTATATCAGAAGTAATGGAACAACTGGACAAGATGCTGTGACAAGTTAACCCATTTGCTGAGTCATACAAATGAATGCATCAAACAAAATGAAATACATGACTGAATAAATAAGATGCATTAATATTTAATTAAATTAAAAACCTTTAATATCTATTAGAATGGTGCATGTTACAGTGGGTACAGCTAGTTTCATAAAAACAGCTTACTGTGTATGTGTTACTGAATACAAGCCAGAATTTGCTGCTTAATTATTGTATTGTATTGTATTGCATTGTATTGGAGAGGGTGGGTTTCCCCATGCACTTAGACCAACTGCTGGTCCATTGTGCGTCCCCCTATGATATTCTACCAGTCTCTATTCCCTACCGGTACTGGTGCGTGCCATCATTCCCAACTCAGCCAGCAAGTTTGGCCTCTACTGGCTCAGCGGTATCTCGATGCTTCCCCCATCTACCAGAGGCGTTTGAGACTACTGTTGGGCGGGAAATGTCCCGAATTTGGCTCAGTGGTCCCCTTGGGACATGAGGTTCTTTTACGTGCCATAAAGCTACGACACGGGACCCATGGCTTAAAGTCCCTCCTGGAGGACTTGTTCCCTGAATTTTTCCGCCCTTAAAAATTCCACGACCTCCGCTGGGTTTGAACCTGCGTACCTTGAGTCACAAGGTGGGAATGTTGCCCCTAGACTACGGAGGCTGCTTGGTGCTTAATTAACTGCTTAACAGACACAAATTTTGTCACAAAGAAGTACATACTTTATTATTAGTTCAATACTGAACACGTTACAACATATGAATTTGCAACACAAGGAGACAGAAACATGAAACACTGTGTCACAGCATCAAGTGGTGTTTTCTTGATAAACCTCTTCCTCAGCAATACATACAATAAGCAAGGTCATAAATTATGACACAAGCCCATCACTGGGGGAGGGGGGTCTGGAAGAGACTGAGCACTCACCACATGTGTACAACACATGCACAAAATAACGATGATAATAAGATCACATCAAGGAAAATGAACTGGAACAAATCACACTTTACAAGATGACAAACTAACCAATTAAAAACCGGAAGAGATAGGGGTGGGTTTCTGATAGGGGTTACTTTATTTGCTACTGTGTCCAGACTGTCTCTTAGGCCCATGCAGTCTCCTAACATTGGGCGCCAGTGGATTCTTCACCAGAAGTAATATGGCTTCAGCATAGATCCATACCAAACCAGTGCTGAGTCTAATGTGTGGAGTGTCTCCCATATCTCCTATACTCCATGGTGTGTTTTTTAGACAGAGGTACAAGTTTACCATTCCCTCAGCAGATGAAGGAAGGAAAAACCACTTACCATGTTGTTACTCAGAGATGTTGCCGGTCTCGACATCATGTACCGTCGAGGCACCAATGGGTTCAGAAATGGAGCATTTGGCAAGTGGTAGCCAATCAGAGATGGTGGCGGAATGGGTGGTGGTGATGGCAGAGTGAATATCGGTCCACAGGGTCCTGGGATCTGCAGACAAATGATGAGCTCAGGTCAGTACAATTCTGAAGAAACACAGATCTCAAACAACGAATACTTATCTACTTATTTATTTATTTATTTGGGACACGCAGTAGCATAGTTGGTTGAGGCATTGTGTTAAAAGCAGGAAGGCTGCAGGTTCAAGTACTCATGAGGCCACTGGATTTTTCAATTGACCTAATCCTTCCAGCAGCATTATGGCCCTGGGATTGACTGAGCCTCTAACAGAAATGAGTACCAGGAATCTTCCTGGGGGTACAGGGCGGCCGACACGTAAGGCTGACAACCTCACCGCCATCTGTGAGCGAACTGTCTAGAAAATGTGGGAACCTCAACGTCTCGCAAATCTATGTGCCTCCATGGCCTGCTACAGGGATAGCTTTACCTTTATTTATTTATTTATTTATTGGTTTGTTTGACACTGTCAGAATTTCAAACTGTACAGATTGGAATGATAGTAGGATTTAACGAATAATAACTGAAAACATACGGAAGAAAGCGATCATAATCTAATTTAGGGTACTTGAGGAACCTCAGTGAGGATAGTTGGTGTCCCATCTGATATATGAGGTCGACACCTCCTGAACGCAAGTTAAAAGCGTTACTGTTTGAGCCAGTCTGCTCAGCCAAACAACTGAGAAACTCCACTACATGTATGTAGATCAGATCTTCCATTGATTTATCAAGGCTCATTCCACACGTCCAGGTTCAATCCCAGGACAGTCCATATGGGATTTGTTGTTGGAAGAGTGGCCCTAGGGCAGGGTTTTCTCTGATAATTATATTTTTCCCCTTTTGATTATCAACCATACTCATCTATCACCAGGGGCTGGTACAATATGTTTTGAGGCCCCAGCACCGAGAAACTCAATCTTACCTCAATCCTATAACCAGAAGCAACAACTAGCTCCAAATATTATCCACTTACTGATCTTGGTTTGCATGTTTCAAGCTTCCATTTCATTAATGACTGTATTAGCTTGTATTTAAATTAAAGTATGTCTTAGCATGTAGGTTTGTCAACTGATGGAATGGACTATGAATAAATATTGTTTGCTTTCAAATTTAATTTGACATGGTTAACGACCATCCAAGAAACTAGCGGTTTTATTTCATTCATTATCATGAAGCTATTCATGTGGCTCCAAACAGAGCATAAGCCCTCACGAACAAAAGAGTAAGCTTTTGGGTTTCATAAAATGCAAGGATTTTTTTTAATATTGGCAAATATGAAAAACTATAATCAAATATAATCCAATAAGTGAATAAGATCCAGAAAAATCACACATGATGTGGAAAAAGCAATAAATAATGAGAATACAATAAAAGCAAAGTTGTCCCTGTGCTGAATTAAGAAAGTACCACACCATGAAGATGTATGGGGTCAGAGGTACAGCTCCACTATTCATAACTCTGGAATTAGATGACGAAAAGTGGTTAGATTACCCCCCCCCCNCCTCCCCTGTGTATGCAGCTGGGCAAGTCCCAGAGCTGGTCTTTTTGACATGGACAGACACAAATTCTCAGTAAGATTTCACTGTCCAAATCTGTACCTGATACTCTGAGCTTAAATTAAACATGGAATTGTTCTATATCTGAGTCAGAACAGGGAGTTACATAAGCCAGTCAATAAAGATGACAATGATACTGAGGAAGAACTGTGCTCAAGTGAGTGGTGTTGGGTACAGCACAAACATGCTACATGCAGAGTGGGTATATTACAGTTACTTGAGCACAACATATCCTAAAATATTATCACTAAGTTCTGAACAAGTCACAATTGGTTCCCACACATAAGCTGCACCATGTCAGCAGTGACTAATGGTTAATGGAGCCATTAGTTTACAAGTCATTTGTATGAGAGTCAACCATGCATACAGCTTTCCCTGACAGACCGGTCCAGTGGCTTCTCAGAGAAAGTCTGCCCATATTCATGGTGTATCATCTTCTGAGGAATGGTCCACTTTAAACTGATTTGTAACTAAGGAGGCCAGCAATTAAAAGTGATCAAGCATAAAGGGCATTCGATGAATGAATGTGTGCCAGATGGCGTGTGCTCACAGGGCACACATCTGAACCAGTTGTACCCTTCAACTTCTCTGTCAGGAGAAACTGAGCAGGGTCAGAACAACTGTGTTCCATCCTGGTTCATTTAATGACACTGCATCAGTTTTAAACATCATACAGTGTCAAAGAAGGACATGGAAAAGCAAATAGCCATGTTGGATTTTAGGCCCTAATAATGCTGACCAGAGAACTGTACTGCTTTCTGAAACAGGGTAACTTATTCCAGACTGCACAGTATCACAACCCAGAAGACAGCATTCTTCAAGTGGTCATGACTTATATTGAGGTGTAATACTGGCAATGACCTTGTGAAATCAGCAACATGAGAAACTGCAGTCCTTACATCCAGAGATTTGAATCAGGTGCCTACAGGTCACAAGTCAAGTGTTCTTACTGCCAAGATGTTAGGAAATGTAACATACCAGAGTTCTGGTAACTTTTATTGCATTTTGATCAGTTATATCAAAAACTGTCATAATTATGGAAAAAGTGTATAAGTGACATAAAATGTGTTAAATTTTTCTCTGTAATATTTTTTCATAATATTTTTCACTCTGGAAAATCTTCAGCAAATTACATTTAAGATGGGCATAGAAACGACTGTAGGACTTCATGTAAACAATCCATTACTGTTCTCCAACTTTAACCAAACCTGAAATGTACAAACACATTTTGATGAAATTTTAAAATATAAAATCTCATGAAAATCCATTCACAAGTTTTTCAACTGTTTTATGTGTGTAGAGAGGCATGGCAGAGATAAGCAGGAAAATTTCGAAACTTTCCATTGGGAAGCCAAAACTTTGTTTTGGAAGGATAAATGTGAATACCATGATTTTCATGTATGTTATTAAGCACATCATGACATCTGCAGTTCATACAGCATCATCAAGAAACCTACAGATTAACATTATTTTGACAAATTAATGTAGGGCTGTATTAACTCACTGAAGGTGAAAGCCAGAGGAGGCTACTTACTGGACAAATATGACCATGCAGAAATAAGCAGAACTTTGTTGCCACTGTGACCTCATGTCCTAAAGTGTGGGGCACAAAAGTGCCCAGAACAAACATAGCAATTTGTAATTAGATATGCTGGATCTGAGGCTCTCACATCAGTGGCAACCTTTGAGATGTGCCACTGTGTAGTCTGGTAGTACAGCACTACCCAGCATCACATCCCTAAAGCAACAATCACATAACTGAATAAGTTACAACATTAAAAGTACTTATAAAATACAATATCTATTTATGGACCGTCTCTATGGTCTAGTGGTCAGAGTTCCTGGCTACAGATCCAGAGGTCCGGGGTTGAGTTCTGTCGCTACCAGATTTTCCTGAGAAGTAGTGGGTCTGGAACGGGGTCCACTCAGCCTTGTGAGCATAACTGAGGAGATATTTCAAGGAAATAGCGGTTCCGGTCTAGAAAACCGAGATTAACAGCCGTGCGGATCCACTGCACTGACCATGCGACACCCTCTATCCGTTAAAGTTGCCACTAACTTTGCTGACAAACAGTGGTCAGTATAGTCTGCTTGCAGACTACAGACCACAGAATTTAATTCTTATTTATGGAAATATGGACTTGGAAAAAAGATAAATAATTTTAGTAAATACAAACTGGCAAGCAAAAGGAAAGAAACTGATAGAAATATGTTTAGGTTCAATTATCATTTTATAAAATAACAGCAAAATCTGTCCTGCTGTTTGGATCCGAAAGTAAGGACATATAGAGACTGCAGGCACAGCAGACGGGATTCCTCAGGACAGGAGCTGGATACACCATATGGGCAATGAAACAACCGACGTGAACTTGGCGTCAGAAACACTGAAGACAATGAAGAGCCCGTGTAGAATGGATAGCGCAATAAGAGACTTAAGACAGCAATACAAAACAGACTTTGGGGAAGAAAAAATTAATGGAAAAATTTTTGGCTGTCTACACAACAATATTTACTTAAATAAACCAAGGTAACTCTCAATAATTGGTTTATTTCAGTTGCTACTACATGTTTCAGTCCTCACGGGACCATCACCAGATAGTTCTACAAATAAGTCTCTATGACTGAATGCCTAATATGGATCCATACTGGTGCAATGCATAAGTCATACAGTAAAAGTAAAGTAAGTAAAGCTATCCCTGTAATAGGCTGTAGAGGCCCATAGGGTTGTGAGATGTTGAGGTTCCCACATTTTCTAGATGATCAGCTCATAGACGGCGGTAAGGTTGTCAGCCTTACGTGCTGTCCGCCCTTTGCCCCCAAGAACATTCTTGGTACTCATTTCTGTTAGAGGCTGAGTCGACCCCCAGGGCCATAGTGTGGCTGGAAGCATTACATAAATTGAAGAAAATCCACCTCATTGCCTCAACCAACTCTGCTACTACATGCTCCACAGTACAGTCATGTACGTGCCATAAACTTAAAATTAATGTACATTAAAATAATTCTGCATGTTAAAATTACCTTGGTTTATTTAATTATATACTGTCGTGTCAGTGGAGGAACCTTTCTCTGTTTATTACGATACACAACAGGATGCATACAATGAAGGAAGAAGAAATGTTGGGAGACCTGAAAGAAGGTGGTCAGATCACCACTGAGACTCTGAACTGGCCCCAGCAACATTTCAGAAGAAGCATTATTCCTTTATAATAGGGACTGGCAAATTTTCCATTCATTGGGCTACACAAATTGAAACCTCACATATATCAATCTTGTCTGTTGTTTAACATTTTATTTCCCCTAGATTAATTTTAAAATTATCTCATCTCATCTCTACATTCGTTTCCAAAGTGGTTTCCTCCTCCCAAGATTTTCTGGCCAAAATTTTGTTCTCATTTTCCAAAGAAACCTACATTCCCATTTCCCTTAATCCCTTAGTACTGCAGTATAATTCTTTGAGGGTTTCTGGTTTTGGTTGGGCTGAATTACTGCATAAGCCCTATTCTTAAGTCTACAGTCAGTGATAGCCATTATTTAATTACACACATCTGCAGTTTTAAGATCAATAATCTTGCTTTGCTTAACAACATAAATCATATTTGATCTAATTGCCCTAACAATATGATGTCATGTATACAAATTACAGAACTACACATTATTAAATTTTCTCCAGTCCCCTGTCATTACATCTGTTTTACAACTAAATAATTCATTATAAGTTTGTTCTTCCGACACTCTCTACAATGTTCCTCCCATAGATGAGGTTTCACACCCGCATAAAACATCTTGCTGTTGTTTTGTATGTGAGTCTACAGTCAGGATAGTAGGAATCCAGGTTGTGATTCGAACTGAGCACCTCCCAAAAATAACTCTACATTGTTAACACTGTGCCAGGTGGTAAAGTCCAAAAGATCAGAATCTACAGTTTTTTTTTATATTTTAATTTTAGACTTGTAAGGCAAGAGGAAGTAGAAGATCCTGAACCCTCTGTAAGACATTCCAAATGTATGTAGATGTTTACATTTTCATTGTGAAGATACAATTTCATAGCCTTAGGAGGAAACTTTGATACATCCAAGAAAGTTAGCAGTTTAAAAATAATACATGGTCTATGATAATTCAATGAACTTCATTAAAAAGGAATTTAATTGAGAGTATTACAAGTAGGGAGACACATAGAGCAGGCATGGATAATTACTTCATGCCTTGTGTTGTTACTGTAAATTTGTGATTCCTCTTAAATGACTGCCTACATTAAAATTAAACTTGAATTCAAATAAATTCAAGATTTTCTGCAACACTTCACACTAGAGATGAATTAAACTTATAGGAGGTCAGATAGAAAACAGGAACTCAGCATATCTACTTATTGATGGTCTCAGTGTCTCAGACTGCATGACATCAGCAGCAATTGGATCAGCAACTGATGAACTGCAAAGGATGTGGAAGGAACCATACATGTGCTAATTGTATGCACTCTCCTGGCATTTGCCTGAAGAACCCCAATTACGATAAAGATTACTATTTTCTGTGATGTGATGCCATACAGTCTGGTAGATCATTACGCTGGCATGCAGGTTTGTGTGCCATCACATCTCAGAATACAGCAATCTTGTGCAGCTGATTACCTCCATTAACTCTTTAAAGCCCAGTGGTTACTATATGTACCATGTGCTTTACCAAACTAAAGCTCTGCATTCTGCCCAAAAAGCGTATCTGTGTGTTCCCTATGGTTCTCACAATAAACAGCGACTGTTTCCCTAAACAGAATTAACCGGTTGGGCTCTGTAGTGGAGGCATAATGTGTTTCATGTGAGGTACAGACTGGATTCTTATATATTATGTAAAAGAAATTCAGTGTCTAAAGCGTTAGATCAGAAATGTGACTTCGCTTGAGTCCCAATAAGAACTACATACTGAGACACCATGGCAGAGTGTGACTCACCGGAGGCTGTGTGATGAGGAGCATGTTCTGCCTGTGTTGCTGCCCAAGCCAATTGCTGATGAGCATCTCCTTGCTGCTTGTACTGTAGAACGATCCTGCAGGCTCAGGTGAGTCTGGCAAGGGCCACCTGCTAGAGGGTTGCTTCCTACCTCCCCGTTTAGCACAAGGGCACACCTGGCGGTAGCACCGGAAACCAGACACAACTGTCACTAGACATTGTGCACATGACATGAGCAGCAGGCCACAGTTGGCCAAAAGGGGTGCCCAGTTGGGGCCATCATTAATATTGACATCAGAGGTAACCTGAAAGAGGTAGAAAATCACGTTTCACCACTTGGCTCAATCATGAAGGGTGAAAGAAAGAGGAATTTCGTTCTCAGTCCTTCTCTTCTGTACTTAAAACTCAGTTAGCAAATAAACTAACTAGTAACTATTTAATTTACATGACATAGGATCTTCCTAGTGAAGTCAGCAGAGAGATCAAAAGAACGCAAACAATAGTTCTAAACTTTATCACATTATAAAATGAATACTATGAAACTGAAATATCCCCAAATAATGCAAAACAACAATCTATAAAATGTATTTTAAACCAATGTTAACATACAATATTGAAACACGGCCTCTTACAAAGAGGAAAAAGCAAAATACAACGCAACGGACTTACAAGCCTTCCCTTCCGTTATCCGTTTAACACCACGTACTACTACTATACCCCTCTATTTTGCAACTTAAAGTAACGACTTCCGGAATCACGCCACAATCTAGAATCGAGATTCTCGATCTCTCCCAGAAGCACATGCGATATCACACCTGTGGATATGACGTAACAAACTCATTTTACAAAACAACTTTAGTAAAGATAATGGGTAAATCTGCCCCTGTGCTTAATTAATTAAGCAGCACGCCACTAAAATGCGTGGGAGAGTTGAGGTATAGCTCTGATATTCCTAACTTCAACACTAAATGGAGGTTAGCGGTCAGCTTCACCCCGCTGCCCCTTTCCCCGGTGAAAGTACCTACGGTAGCCCTTGTATAGGTGGCTGGGTGAGCCTCAAAGCCGGCCTTGACGCTGTGGAGAAAAGAAAAATTTCATGCCCCTGCCGGAAATCGAACCCCGCGGCTCAGCCATAGCACGTCGCTATACCGAATGAAGTTTTCGTAGTAAACTGAAACACAATTTCTGTATAATAACAAGTCCAGTGCATGCAAAGAGCTCATAGTTCTTGTTTTTCAATGTCTAACACATGACTCTGCAAAATAAACCCGGTTCTCGACTCACAAGAAACAAAGAGTGACATAACATTCATGTACGAGTATATGTACAAGCTCGTTCATTCATGACGCATGTAGTTTGCTCCGCACAGCAGCTTCACGCAACATCCCCATATCATCCTAAACAATTCGCCGTAAAGACAGGCGTCAATGTGAAGAGATTTTTATAATGTGAAAATTACACTCGTTTCTGAAGAGGATCATTACGATTGTTCAAGTAGTGATAATGGCTTTTTCTCAAAACATGGATTGCATAACCCAAAAATCCATATTGCTATGGTACCGAAATTTTGTTTGTAAAACAAACAAAATAAAAGCAATTAAAATGCTATATTTAAAAAGCTACATATAGCGTAGTCGGTATAGCGAATGGCTACGGGCTGGATGACCGAGGGGTTGGAGTTCGAGTCCCGGTAGGCACAATTATTTTCTCTTCTTCACGTCGTCCAGACCGGGTCCTATCCAATGGGTACTGGGGGATCTTTCCCCGGGGGTAAAGCGGCCGGAGTGTGAAGCTTGCCACTCACCTCCAGCTAGTGCAGAGGTCAAGAAAAATGGATCTGTCCCACAGAAAAATGGTTTTTGGGTTATCATCCTAACACCACAGTACACCTTTGTCGATATGTAGTCTAATGTTCATTTTTAATTGCTATACATCTCTGGTCACGGTTCATAGCTGCAGGGTTTAATGCAGTCCTTGATCATTTAAAACTCTAACGTTCGTAATAAATTATATTATTAAGAGGAAAAAATTACACACATTCTTGAATATCTCTGATTATGTTACTTGGCGAGGCTGTATCAGCCGCAGAATTTACACAGCAGCAAATGAGAAACCGAAGGATGGTTATGGATGAGGAGCATGGAAGAAAGTGGCATTTCTCTTGCTTACGATACTACCTTAACACTCACTTGGGGACTGAGGAAAATTACAAAAATCTCAGCATTCGAATGCCTGCACTGGTACTATTGATGTTCATCCTGCCCTGTGAGGTTAAGTTTAACGGCCGACATTATAATTCTTGGGCTCGGTCATATGTCTGTCATATCAAGCACACCACACCTGCTCCGTCAGCAGTGTCAGGCCTCACTGCTTCCGATATGAGGAACTACAGTGCACTGGGAGCTGTTTCGCCCTGCCCGGAGTTGTCTCCACAGTAGCCAGAATCTGAATCATCCGACAAGCCTTACACGTCTCTGGCCACTACTAACTGCATGGCTCTCTCTCTATAGATTTGTCTTTCCAAGAGCAGATGGGTCCTGGTTGGTTAAGTGGGGCCCTTGTCACCACGGTACGGCGCGCCGTCAGGTTATGGATGGAAGAGAACGTAAGATATCAAAGGGTGGGGAGGATGTAGCTGCGAATCTATCCAATAAGTAATCACGTGCTGATAAGAAGTGGTTCTCCTGCTTTGGGAATCGACAGGGTCTCTAAAAAACTGTCGAAAGGGCTTCAGACTTTAAAAAAAAACTGCACAATGAGGAAACTCATAATTTAGACGATTAAATCAAGCAGACGAGATGAGCTTCATATGTAGCACGAATGGGGGAAACCAGTAACGTACATACAATTTTGGTCGGCAAATTTCAACGGATGAGATCACTGGCTTAGATGAGAAGATAATACGCATATTAACAGTACAGAAATATGAAATGAGGGTGTGCGCTAGATTCTATTGACTCAACATAAGGTACATTCTTTGGGATTGTGAATAAGGCAATGAATGTTTTGGGAGTGCGTTTCTTGGTCAGCTGATGGCCTAGGAAGACACTGTTCTCGCTACTTGCCTGCCCATCCTCTATGGTGCGTACATCCGCGCTCTGACCGTCTCTCACGAGCCCGATCACCGCCAGTACGACCACCAAGTTGCTAACCGCAAGTGATACGAGGCAGAGCGCCAGGAACGCCGTGACCGCCAGAGTGGATGGAGACGAGTTTCTCACCGAGTAACAGCTCCGAAGTCCCGCCAACACCCCCACGACCCCGGACGCCATGGCCACAGCGCCACCCCACAACCCAGCCCCAACCTCGGACAGGGATGAGCTGTGCACAATGGCCAGGACACCGAACACAGCCATCAGGACCCCTAGCAACATCTGTGCAATCCCCAGGAAAAGAAACGAGTTCTCGTCAGATGCAGCGTCGTTCCGAAAACTGCCGCTCAGCGTCGACGAACGCGTCTTTAGAGTCGACGAGAAGGAGTCAGCTGGCGATTTGACAACCAGAGCGTCGGCAGGAGCCGCCATGCTGGATGGACTGGAGTCCGTCGCGTCTGGATGGTCCGACCCGCCACTCATTGTAGCCTCACTCTATACATAACGTCTTCAGGAGTATTGTCCAACTGAACAATTTCGCAAAACTGGAAACTGTCACTAATCGATTCTAAGCGTTGGTGTTTCGACCTGTCGCTACAAAATAAAATAAACGCACAGCCGTGTTATAATTTGTTACATAGTGGCTATATTACGCATTATTATGGATGCTTCCAGAAAAATGAAAAAGTTTTATATCGACGAATTCTTAAATTTTCACTATGCGAATTTAACACATATGAAACTAACTAGAATTTCTTTATAATTTTACATTTCCCACTAGAAAATTCATAAACACTCGGAAACTAAACACTATGCACTCAGTCATCTTCGATGTTCATACGCACACTCTTGGGAACAATGCACATTTCACGTCTGTTTCGCTGTGTGTGCTGCGGTTGCAACAACGGTCATGATGCGCGCGCAATGTTCTGTCTCTGCCCGCCAAGACGAAACTGACAAGACAGACGTGGTTGCCACCGTTGCTACCGACAGACGTGTCGATCGGCACTGCAGCGTGCTGCATTACCCCGCCTTTCACATTCCGTCAGATTTGCTGTTACACAACGCACAAGCATTGAGCATGCCTGGGTCGAATCCAGTCACTTCCCAGGCGTTCTAAAGACTGGTACATTGACATCGCATTGTTGTTCATCTCGTATGAATAGCCATTATGTGAAAGGAACTGGATGACCAGTGTACGTTTATAATTCTATTACAGCACAATGGTATCTATAAGTACCAGCTGCCTTAACACCAAAAAAGAAAAAGTCTGCATTTTGCTCGCACATTGTATTTACGTGTTTTGTACAACTCTCGCAATAAACAGCGAATACTTCCCTTAACAGCATTAGCCCGTTAGTCTCTGCAGCGGAGACGCGATGTGTTTACTGTGAAGTACGAACAGAATTTTTTAAATCAATTCAACGATATTCCGGTTTCAAAACATTAAAATAAAAAAGACTGTTCTTAAAATATCGGAGTTGACATTTTAATCCTAAAAGTGCCAAGTGTCAACAATTTGGATCCTAACTGAAATGGCCAGATCCGGCAGTATGTGACATGTGCTGGCAATTTATCTGAATTGTATCGTCATGAAATATTGGGAGGAAATTCTTTGCTCCTGTATTCTACATTCTTCCGAAGTTTCTATATATTATTTATGTATGCATCATATGTATTTATGTACAAATTTTGTAGTGGAATGAAGATTGGCAGGGGAAACCGAAGTACTCTAAGAAAACCTGCTCCAGCGCCACTTTGTCCACCACAAATCTCATTTGACCAGACTCTCTGGTAGCAGAACCCGAAGGTTCAACACCGCTAATGCCAAAGCCTGTCACTACACACGATCCTGAGCCAGTTCCATCCATCTCCCATGCCCACAGCCTGTTTTCGTGAGATCAATTAACTGACTCACATTTCAGAAGTGAGTACTATTAAAATTCGATGCACTGAGAATCACATAATCCATACATCTTAATGTTAGCCTGCATTTTAGATTACCATGCAAGACAGCTCGGTCACTATAGTGACTAGACTGCAGGACCGAGGAATCGGGGTTTGAAACACCGCATGGGGAAAAATTTTATTTTCTTCAGAACGTACAGACCACCTCTGGGGATGACAACTCATTTCTGTCTGGCGGTGAGGTCCAGTATGAGGGCAGTACATCTCCACTGATGGTGTACTGCCCAATTAGGCACAGGAACAAGTTTCTTTACAGCGTCAGGACAACTGATTCCCTGTCCGGGAGTCGAGCTGGGTGCCTGCAGAATACAAGTCAGTCGAACGAGCGATGAGCTAACACACTGAAGCGTTCTGCTTTCAGCGTCACGATACCACGTGACACACGGCTCTTGGAGCAACGGCAGCTACATCTGGGGAGAACTCGTGGAGTCTGCCCGCTCTTAACCCCCATACCAACACGTCGAGCCTCTCATGAGTCATCAGCTGTTACATGTCTCACTGGGGTAACTCAGTCATCACAGCCACTAGGCTGTGAGAAGAATGATCAGTTTTCGATTCCTGGCAGGAGCAGATGTTTCTCTTGTCCACAGCGTCCAAGCCGGCACTGGGAGGACCAATGAGGCTCCAATGGGTACCGGGGGCCTATCCCCCGGATGCAAGTCGACTGAAGTGTGAAGGTGACCACTTACTCTTCAGTCATTGCCAACATTATTTGCAGGAGCCGGGATAGCTCAGTCGATACGGCGATGGGCTATAGGCTGGACGGCCCGGATTCGATTCCCGGAAGTACAAGATTTTCCCCATCTCCAGAGGGTCCGGATAGACTCTGGGGCCTACCCAGCCTCCTATCCAATGGGTACTGATGGCTCTTTAACCGGGGGTAAAGCGGCAGGGGCGTGAAGCTGACGGCTCACATCCATCTACTGCCGAGGTCAAGAAAGGTGTAGCTACACCTGCTCTCCCCCATGTCTTAATGGCATACTGCTTAACTCATTAAGCACAGGGACAGCTTTACCTTTCTATCCCCTATCTGTAACAATACAGCAATAGTGCATTTTGAAGAAAGTGTAAATAAGCAATCATTATCTGATCGAGACACGAACTCGGCATGTCTGAAGAGCCCGAGGAAAACCACGGCATACCTCAGTGAAAACAGTGATTGTCCGGCCCGAGCACCTACAGCGTTAGAAGAATTACCATTTGAGTCACAACTTCCTCGGTGCCAAAAACCACAAAATCGCAATTAGAAGGCTATTCTCTTGTGGGACGCAGCACCGTCCAATCTGGTAAGCCACCAACGTTTCGGAGAAACCTGGAACCTCCATCTTCATAATCGTGGCTGTGAGAACCTCAAGTGTGGGGTGAACCACAGGTTGTGTACCCCTACTCTTAAGAGGGCAGTTCCTGAGCATACTGGCGCCACCCCATCACGCCCGTCTGTCACACTGACCCCAGGGAACTGGATCACGCAAATGGAGGCACACGGCCGGAACTAGACGGTGGCTTCTGCAACTTAAACAGCTCACGTCTCCTTTCCGGAACGGGCCGTCTATCTGTGTCCGTCCGTACGTGACGCGGCAGAGTTAACTCAGCGGCACAGCTATGTTCCGTTGCGTGGAAGTGTCAGCCGGCCTCTTATGTTAAGACAAGAACAAGGAGCACAGGGAGCCGGGGGGAACATTCTGATCTGAGAGGGATGAATAAGCTTACACAACCAGGAGCTTCGTAACTTACAATCCTCGCCAAATATTAGAACGATCGAACATAATAGGATCAGTTGAGTAGGGTATGTAGCACGTATGGGAGGTGTGAAAACTTCATACATTGTCGTCGGAAGATCTTGAAGAAAAAAAATTCTAAACCTAGGTGTAGACGGAAGAATATTCAATTCGATCTTAAATATATTGGATCGGAGAGGGTGGATAAGAATAAAAAACAGTGACGGACTTTTGTGATCACGGTAATGATCCTTCGGGTTCCATAAAATAAGGGGAATTTCTTGAGTAGTTGCGCAACCATTAGCTTCTCACGAAGGGCTATACTCCATGTAGTTCTTTAATTAGGAGCCGGGTTAGTTCTGTCAGTACAATAACTACAGTGTTGGCTGTATGATCGGGTGATCGAGGTTCAATTCCTGGCAGGAGCACAGATTTGTCCTCTCCACAGCGTCCATCCAGCTTATCCTCAAATGGGTACTAGGGGTAAAGACGCCGGGGCGTCAAGTTTACCAGTCACCGAAACCTAATACAGTAAACTCTGATAGAAATAAATAATAAATTTTCACTGTAGAGCCTTTATTTAACATGTATACAAAGACAATATATTTATTTATCGATAGAAGACTCAGAAATTGTACTTGTTTATCAACGTAATAATACAGGTTTGAAGAAACTGCCAGGTTTGGTCCGAACAGACAAGTGGCTGGTCTGCGTTCCAAACGCTATGTGTCTTTTAAACCATGCACTCAACTGTGAACAGCATTTTTAATATCTCACATTTCGATCCAGATTATCCGACAACCGGATTGGCGAGGGTTTATTATGCGACAACCGGATTGGCGAGGGTTTACTGTAGCGAAATTAAGAATGCGTACACCTACGCCTCCACGGACCGAAGCTGAATCAGTCACAGGGACAGTTTCATATGTAAATACGCTGTCAATATGCACCGTCAAACTGAAAAGATTTAAAAAGGCGGCCGCAGCCTGATCCGAGATATTATCCAGTCACTTGCCCGGAGGGTCTGAGAAAAACCACGACGAAACTCAGTTCAGAACAGCCGGCGTCCCAGACGAGATTTGAGCAGAGCTCTTTCCGAATACAAGACAAGTGTGTTACCGCTATGCCAACCTGCTCGTCTACCCACTTGCACTTTCAATTAGGGCCATTCGATATTAATTTCATCGAAATCTGCATATAAACATGGGAAACAAAAAGACAGACGATCGAACACGACCATCCCGAGATGAAGAAACTCTGTGCCAAGTGTCTGCTCTTTTAAGGTCAGTGTGACAGCGTGGAGTGTAGAAATTAACAAAGCAAACGTGAGCTGCAGACGCGCACAACAGTCTGTTGACAGCAGTGTGTTCCAGTGGAACTCACCTGTGCTAGTTCGCTTTGAACTAAACCATTATACGTGCTCGGACTGTAAGGACAGTCACAGAGCACTCGCGACACAGAACCGCGGCAACAGAAGCGGAGATTTCAATGCAGGTGCAAGCCACGAACTCTAGGGACGTTAAAATTACTTGGAACTGTCTCGAACTCGGTCAGCACTGTTCATTCTGAGCAACAAACTGAGCATCTCAGTCGGTGGGAACAATGTTTCTGCCTCGTATTCCAGGCGTTCTGAAGCTTGAGCAGAACATATCGGAACAGTGAATTGCCGCTGGCTTCGCCAGCAAAGCCACTCTTCGTTTCCGGACCCGTGGCCATATTTTTGTTCTTTCCAAGACCATTCACTTTCGTGTTTTGAAATGGGCTCTCCTCTTTCACGAGAGGTTGGATTGGTCCTTC